TAAAGTCCAGGACGGGTCAAGTAGGAATGCTTTTAGGATGGCAGGCTGGACCATTAATTTTAATGAGCAGACAAATTCTCAGTGGTTGAAGAAAGTTGGAAAATATGCCAACTAGTTTGGTGTTTAGATTTAGGAAGTGATGCCTCCAAAATGTTTTATTATAGAATGTATTTCAGTAGTAAAGTCAATTACCAAGGGAGCTGCTGAGTTCCCTTTCACTGAACGTGCTCAATTTGCAGCTGGACAGCCATCTGTCAGGGATGCTTTAAATTAGATTCATGTACTGAGCAAGGTTTTAGAATTGATGGCCTAAATGGACACTTCCAAGAGTTTTGCCGTTGCCAGATAGTACCAATGGAGTTTGGCTGTAGTCCCAGCATTAGGTATTAGCAAATTTTGTGTCAAATAGCAGGGGTGCTGCATAGTAACTGGGCAGCATTTAGAAAGAGAAGATTAATGCACAGAAATTTTTGACGTTCTTCATCCCAAAGTCCAGGATTATTAAGTAGAGAGCGGCCTTAATGCTAAATATGGGTATTTATTTATTTATTTATTTATTTATTTATTTATTTATTTATTTATTGGTTCGATTTATATGCTGCCCTTCTCCGGAGACTCAGGGCGGCTTACAATGCGTTAAGCAATAGCCTTCATACTTTTGTATATACCTGCTTAGTAGGGCTTTCAGCCTCCCCTAAGCGGTGTTCTTTTTTATACAAAGTCAGCTTATTGCCCCCACAAACCGGGTCCTCATTTTACCTATCTCGAAAGGATGGAAGGCTGACTCAACCTTGAGCCTGGTGAGATTTGAACTTGCAGTAATTGCAGGCAGCTGGTGCTACTTAACAGCACTTTAGTCTGCTGCGCCACTAAGGCTCTTATCAATTGAAGTAGAACTTCAATTTATGATATTGGTGATAATGTTTTTATAAACCTCTTTCGATAATTGTGGTTGTGGATCATATCAGTATCGCTGTGGTTTCTCAAAGGTTTCTTAAAACCTATACAGTATAGCAATGGATCTAAATTAAGTTGAGGTAATGGAATGTGCACCTGCAGGTCAGTGGGGGAGAATTTTGGCAACACAAAGCCTTTCCAGAAGGAGGCCCAGACTGAGAGACTGCACAATCCTGAGCTAGATGTGGGAGGGGTGGGGGAGAGATTCCAGATAGCCACCTCCTAGAATCTTCAGAATATATCTAATAGGTCAGAAGGTTACAGCTTTATTTTGGCAAGGTTCTACCCATTATGGGTGTGAAACTGGCGGCCCACAGGCTGGATGTGTCATGTGCAGGCCACGCCCACCCCAGCTCCGCAACGGGGAAAAAACATCACGATACATCATGTGACCGCAACATAACATGGTGAGTTTGACACCCGTGCATTAGGTGTAAGCAAATAAAGAACTGAACTCAGTTGGCTGTGTCATCTCTGGGTTTTGGCCTAACAGTTGACAAGGTAATGTTCTGTGTGTCCTTGTATTGAAAAAGTGGAATCTCAGGTTTCCCCCTTCGTAGCAATTCAGTTCATTACAGAGTTGTTACATTTGTGTCAGAAGCAAGACAATATATCATGGCTATTGCAGGTTCTGATGTTAGCCAAGTTCCCCCAAAATGATGAGCTTGAAATCTCTTTTAACTTTTCCATAATCATCTCTTATCTAAATCTGTCAGGTTATTATTATTAGAGACCCCGAATATGATGAAATCCTGTGGTTCTTACCGACTACTTTCTGCATCAATTATCTAGCTGAACTTATCAGAATGGCCTCATCTGGGCAAATTTGCAGTTGTTTGAAGTCTTCTCCACTTGTAGATAATCTTCTGAACAATTAATAATTGATGTTCAATTGTTTCATAATCATTTTCAGTCCTTTTCCAGACTTATAACCTTCTTCCTGAAAGTCTCAGAGAACTCTTTCGGTCTAGACATGGTGATGGTGTCAACTACAAAAAGAACTCAACATCTGAGGTCTAAATCACCTAGCCAGGTTCCTCCCTGATCATCTCTAATGTTGTTATAATTTGCACTTGATCTGATGCACCTGATTCTAATTTTAGGTCTTAGATGTCAACATAGGGTGAACTGTTTTGGGCGCGACTCATCCAAAGTCTGCCTTCTGCCAGTCTCATCTGCTAGACAATACTAGTTTAACTCCATACTAAAGTCCACATAAACAATTTATGAGTATAAAAATGACTAAGCAATGCAGTGAAGCTTGCTCTTTAGTAAATCAAAGTCCATATATAGGCTGGCTCATTAGATGTAACGGTATCAGCAAGGCTGCTGCCATCTGAGCAGACTTTCCTATGGGGTAAATTCATTAAGTCAGAAGCAGGGCTTCTCCTGAATGTTGCATGCTCAACTTCACTATGTAAGTCATAGTTAATATTCTGCGAATGAAACTAATTTGATTTCTTGGCCTAGATAAGTTTGAGGAAAGCTAATTGAAGGAAGGTATTTGATTTCAGTCAGATGAATAATCAGAGTGCTATGTAAACAGTAGAAACCTTGCTTTGCTAAACAAATGTCTATATTTGTGTCTGAATACCATTACTTTCTAAAAATAGATGCATACAATTTTGGAAGGGTATCATTACAGAAGCCTTGTGAACACCAATAAAGCTGAAGCAACTATTCTATGAAATGATTGTAAATTGTCAGTGGGTTTTCTGAGTGGTCACAGGAAAACATCTCTGGTTGCTTTATGGAAAACAGAAATTGAAACCCAAAATGTAGGACAGGATGAGAAAGAAACTAAAGACTAATAATGTTATTTATAAAAGATGTATCTTGATAAATCTTTTAAGAATATTTTCCATATATAGTCACACCCACCTCTAGATTTCTTAGACCATTTTACTGTCAGAAAAGAGTAACATCTCAGTAAAAGCAATAAACTATCCAATGTAATTTAACCTAAGGCATACTTGCATTATCAGGCTGATATGCTGTACAGCAGGAGTGTCAAACTCAAGGCCCGGGGGCCGGATCCAGCCCATGGTGTATTTAGATCTGCCTACGGGGCCACCCTGGAAACAGCAAAGGACCAGCCCGCAGTGCTTCTGCCAGCAAAAACAGAGCTTGGGAGGGCCTCAGGTGGCCCTCCCAAGTTCCATTTTCGCTGACAGAGGGTTGCAGGAGGCTGTGGCAGCTGAAAACAGAGGTCGGGAGCCCATTTTCTCTGGCAGAGTGCTCTGGCCGCCACAGGCGCCCCCAACATGAGTGACATTGAGCTGACCATGCCCACCTGGCCACGCCCACCCCGGCCCCCCGAGGTCAAATATAACCCTGATGTGGCCCTCAATGAAATTGAGTTTGATACCTCTACTGCATCACGTGCTGGCCTTGCACCTACCTGCTTTAGCGAAGGGGGAAAAAGTCTTGACACGTCACATGATACCGCCGTGATGCCGTGAGTTTGACACCCCTGGTCTACAGCAACTTATAGTGACCTTCCTGCTATTAAATTGGTGTTGCTGTTATATAACCTTGCGTGTTGTAAAATTTAAGCATCCTCTTTATTTACTTATTTTTTGTCTACTTCTAAGCTACCCTGATGAACTTTACCACATGTTTTCTCTAAATTGTTCATGTGCTATAAATTGAATTGGCATGTGTTTGAAGTTGGTCCCTGGGCATATCAGCTTCAGAAAAAGAATAGTGCAAATATTTCTAACAAATTTCTGAGATGCTTGGACCTAGAATCCACAATTTAATGGAAGTAATTCTCTGTACTTAGTTCTTAAAAGTAGAATAATGTAAAAAAGAGCTTTGTTAAAAAAAAATTAACTTAGAAGATTCATGGAGAAATCACATTAATCTAAGAATTGGCTCCCACGATTGTTGGTAACCAGAAAAATATTTATTTATTTTTATTGCTTTAATGGAACTAGGTTTTGTTTGGCTTTCTTGGCCTTGTTTTGACAATGTGCGCACCAAAGAGTTAACTATTATTACTTTTCTCACTCATCCACTTCTATAATGGAATCATAGAATCTGTTTCAGCAATGTGCTTGGAGTACACTTTCTGTATGATTCTATTTTAAGAGCAGCTTAATTTCACACAAGATCTCGTTCCCCCTTGATTATACTGAATACAATTATAGGAAGTAACTTATTTTTCCTGAAGCTGACATCATCATCTTGGGGAGGGGAGAGAGAGGCAGTTTGCTCTCCTAAGTAGGTTGCCTTTCTTCCTTTTTGTCTGCTCTTCTTCCCATGTACACATTTGCAAGTAGTGATGTAGCTTTCAGGAGACTTAGAATGGTGTAATGGATTGTGTGAATAACCTTGAGGAACCAGGGGAAGAGATGCTGCCTAAGAAACAATCGGACAAGAAAGGGAGAAGCCCCCAAGGACTAAATAGCTAGAGAGAGAGAGAGAGAGAGAGAGAGAAAAAACTTAGGCAGAACTGTCCCAATTGATCACCCATTTAAAAGTGGCAGGGAAAGTTGTACCTTCAGATTTACAAGATTCTGTTAATGTAGCCTTGCAATAAAGTAGAATTAGCTTATCTAGTCTTGTTTCCTTTCTGGTTTACTTGGAAGGCTGACAAACTGCTCTTGGTTTCCTCTGGATAAACAAAAGAGAGATTCCAACAATGCAAGTCTGAATGCGTGACATCTACTTTACAAAGCTCAAGTGCAATTTTCCAGCTCTTGGCCTAATTGGCATGGGAGTAATAGAGGATAAATGGCATGTCCCAGGTTTCTGCCCAGAGAGCTCATGTTACTGGTTTTTTTTTTTTTTTTAAACCGCTGGGCTAGGCACCTGCTTCTCTTTTATATGCATAGGAGTCGCCAGCTGGCTACAAGTCTAACCTGGCCCGGTGCCAAATGTCAGGAGAGTGGCTTAAAAGGTGTGTGTATGTGTGTGTGAGTACATTATTAGAGAGAATGAATGAACTGCCATTCAATTTTTTGGAGCTGACTAAAAAGGAAGTGAAAAATATAGCTTAAACGCAGTTGAATTTCTCACCCAGCTTTCTTGTTTTCTAGGAAGAAGAGATGCCAGATGTAGAAATTGATATTGATGATCTTCTGGATGCTGCTAATGAAGAGGAGAGAGCCCTCAAATTACAAGTTAGTTTAATTTTTAAGAGATTTGGGAGAATGGCACTGAATCCCACTTTAATTCAGGCTATCTGTCTTCTAGGACATCTTTTTAATGTTTGGAGAGCAGATTAATAAAGCACAATAAAAAAGGGTAAATTTAAGTCTGTAACAGCTATGAATTGTGGTATGAGGATTAGCATTCCCGTGATTTGATGGCATACCTGTATGGGTTTCCAAGAATGTGTCACTGTCTGTCTGGCATTTTCTATTGGTCAGGAAAATAGTACATATTAACACGGGGAGTGCTTCCCTTATCATACTTCTGCTATAACAATGAGTGACAAGGGAAAATGTTATGGGTCAAAGTATTAAGTTTTTGATTGATGATTGATTTTCACACCCATGAGAGAAGCCTGTTTTGCATATGCTTCCCTTAGAAAAGATGTGTGAGCTATCCAGAAATAACCAGTTCTTATATAGGTGAAAGAGGAATGAAAGATAACTGATGCTTTTATTATTGTACTTCTAGGAAGCGCTTGTAGATTGCTACAAACCTACAGAGGTAAACAAATTTTATATTATTTTACATGTAAAAACTTACTATGGTCTTCTGTATAGGCAGCAGTTATATATGCCAACTATCCTGATCAACACAGATAATCAAATAATTACTTTCAGTGTTTATTATATGTAATTAAAATTTTAAAAATGCAACTCACACAGACTTGTAGAGTAGTGACAGCTATCCTTTTTCGGACCGAGTGCCCAAAGCGCGTGCCTGAACCCCCCAAATACAATGCGCATGCGGCCCTTCCCCCGTGCATGCACATGCACCCCTGCATGCGCCCCGCCGCCTGTGCATGCACATATGGGGCCCCGCATGTGCCCCGCCCCCGCACATGTGTGCATGTCCCCCCCGCATGCACCCCACCCCCATGCACGCACCCTACCCCCATGCATGTGCAGCAGAGACCCAAAGACCAGCTGGCTAGTAGGAGGCACGTGCACATGCACAGCGGAGCTGAACTGGGGCGACGGCTCGCGTGCCATCAGAAAGGGCACTGCGTGCCACCGGTTCGCCATCACGGTTCTAGAGTTAAAGTCAGATATAGTATTGTTTGGTAGTGCTTATAAACTTCATTTATTTTAATTCTTTGGATTGGAAAAGTACTTCATCATCTTGAAGGAAAAAACACACACATATATTTAAATGCAAGTTCATACAACCTTTAGAGATTTTATTACAGTATTTTCCTGCCATTAAAAAAAGAACTGTCAATGGCTGCCACAAAGAATGCAATCAATTCACCTATGTTGGCTACTCCTAGAGTTTATTAGATCATTTAACCTTGAAAACTATTTTTTAATTTTATAAAACTGGATCTTGCATTGCTGAATTATTGTATGTTAAAAATATAAGTATCAATCTTATGTCTAGTCCCATTCTTATTCTCTGCAAGAATGCTTTTACACAGTAGTTGTTTCAGATTTTTAACCTTGTTGTGAGTGATAATTGAAGTGTGCGTGACTATAGCAGCTGTATGTGAACAATAGGGATGACCTTGAAACACTTGATATCTGCTGATATAAAGATAGAAATACACTACATCTCTCTGCCTCCTTCTCTCCCTCCCTGATTAGTCTGGTCCTCCCCACTTAGAAAATGTTATTGGACCATGCTTTATTTTTCAGTTCTCGGGAAAAAAAATAGCATGCCCTTAGATGAAAATAGTAAGTAATCCTTTTAAAATACCATAATCATGGTATGAATCCATGTCTTCTTCTAGATATTGGAAAGATTTGGTGGAAGAAATTTAATATCTGATTCAATAGATTGTTATTCTGTTCTGTCAGAAACAAAGTTTAGAAAGCTTCTTCCAACTACAGGAATATAATGCACAGAACTGCCCCAAGGCTTTATTTCTATATTACCATCTGGAAAATACAGTCAAATTATTAGAGGTAATCCAATTGTGTTTTTAGCATCTATGCTGTAATTTACTCAAAAAAAAAATTAAATTCTTTTTAGGTGTTAGCTGCATTTGAGAGATGCATGGCCAAATACATCAAACAAACAAACAAACAAACAAACAAACAAACTTGCTATTTTTAAAAAGATATATACCACTGTGTTTGTGCTCCTGGCAACAAGCCTGATGTTCTCATATTATGAATTGTCAGTTTTGGTTTCTGAATTCAGAGAAGAAAAAACTTACAGGAAAGTTGCATTGATGTAAACAACTGCTTATGTTCTGTAAACCCATGTGGCAGAATATGTCACCCTCTTCCCCAAAGTTCCTAAGAGCTAAATCTGCTGAGGGTTTATAGGCAGTAATTTTTGTCAGTAGAAGCACAATAGCAATAGTCTTAGTTGTGGTAGCGTATTTTGAATATCTTTGCCTGTTAATCTTGAGGCAAAACTCCTTCCATAATAATAGTCCATAGTTCAGCTTTTGGGCAGCTTATGTAACAACACCAATATTCTGAAGAAATCTGATACATTCTGCATTTGGAAATGATTTGGCCTACAAACTTATGTTTAAATCCTTAGTGAAATGTTACAATAGCAAGAGCAATAGACTGGATTTTATACCGCTCCATAATCCTTTATAGCAGGGGTGAAATGCTCCCAGTTTGGACCGGATCACCCGATCCGGTAGCGATGGAGGCGGGTGGTTCGGAGAACCGGTAGCAAAAATCCCTTCCCCCCACACTGCCCAGCTGGGCCGTGCAATCATCAGAGGCTTTTTTTTAATTTTTAAAAGCATTTTTTCTACAATGTCTTTGGCCGAAAAAATGCTTTTAAAAGTAAAAAAAATGCCTCTGATGATCATGCAGCTCAGCTGGGATCGTCAGAGGCTTTAAAAGCATTTTTTTTACAGCCTCTTCAGCCGAAGAGGTTGTAGAAAAAATGGTTTTAAAAGTTAAAAAAAAAAAGTTGGCCACGCCCACTCAATCATATTACTCCCCCCCAAGCCATGCCCACAGAACCGGTAGTAACAAATTTTACATTTCACCACTGCTTTATAGCACTCTCTGAACAGCTTACAGAGTTGACGTATTGGCCCCAACAATCTGGGTCCTCATTTTACTGACCTTGGAAGGATGGAAGGCTGAGTCAACCTTGAGCTGGTCAGGATCGAACTGCTGGCAGTGGAATGCAGAGTTAGCCTGCAGTACTACATTCTAACCACTGCACCACCACAGCTCTCTGCTACCCACAATCTTCCCCATAATGCTGTTTATATGGTGAATGCTAAGGTAGGCAATAAGAGTAGATCAAAGCTCTGATACACTACATGAGACAACTCTCTAAGATTAGTGATTTAAATGTGTTGTACAGCTGCTTATAGCATCAGTGCAAAGTATTTGGATGTCTTTCATGGCTATTTACACACCAGCTTTACCCCTTGCTAAACAAACAGCCTGCTGTTGGGTTGTTTTTCCATGGCTTTCATTAATTCTCCAGCTTTTTAACATGCAAGATATTCTCTCTTTATCTCTGTTGTTCACATGCATTGGATTTATGTTCTACAAGAAGTGAACACTGCAATAGGGTGGGGTGGGGTGGGAATGTAAGGATGCCTTATCTCAAGAGTAAACTTGGTGGGTGCCAACAATTAAAAATAGTTTCTGTCCCCGTAACATTAGTCTTGAGAAAGATATTCTTTGCAAGCCAGTTGTACACAGCATTCAGGCATTTTCCATATAAGGAAAAGGTAAAATAAAAGTCCAGTAGCAGACCAAAAAAGACAATGTTTCAACAATTGGTGTTTTGCTCTAAAAAAGTATGTACAACTGTACCTTTTATTGGGCACTTCAAAGTCTCGATCCATTGGCACTTAAAATAGCTCTATTGCCTGGAAAGAGAAGCTCCTGGCATCAGAAGCCTCTAGGAAATGTTTGGCTATTATAACTAATGATGCTATTAATAAATACTTAGTTCCATTTTCCAGATAGCAACCAAAAATAGAGTTATGCTCAGTGTGAAATTTCAGTGATGGCGTTTTAAGGAAAGTGCCATTAATATTTGAGCAGAAAATGTTTGATAGTGCCTTCTAATTTATTCAGATGAAACCTAGGATTGGGGAAATCAGTTCTTTATTATGGGAATCAATGCACATGTTTTAAAATACATTACCACAGTGCCTAGTTGGCTAGAAACAGGAAGTACGTTCACATTTCTTCAAAATTTCATGTTTCTTCAAAAATTACCAAGTTGCTCAAATTTTTTCCTTTCCTCTCTAAAATTAAGCTTGGCCCTCAGTTAGCAAAGTTAGACATAATTACAGTAGATTAAATGACCTTGGTGATTCTTCAGAAGCTACCGGAAGGAAATAATTGATTTTATCTCAACATATATACCTCTCTATATACAGTATGTGATAGAAACAAAGCAGCCTTAATGTCTATGGAGATTCCCAGTCATTCAGGTCATAATTGTCTCAAAGGTGCTTTTTTTTTTCTTCCCCAAAAGACAAGTGGACTGTTTTTTGAGGAAGAAGAAGAAGACGTTTCGCATCTCATTCAAGAAGCTTCATCAGTTAAACTGATGAATAGCATAAGTCCGGTTGCCTTTTGGGGAAAAAGCACTTTTGAGACAATGTAACCTTAAAGGGGTAAAAAAGGAGGATTGTCATGAACTCCACTCTTCTAAACAAGAATGTCACTCCAACCATTCCTGCATATTCCCTAGGACTGGAGAATATTCTCTAAACCAGGGGTGTCAAACTCCGTTTTCCTGGCAGAGGGTTACAGGAAGCCGTCCCAGCTGAAAACGGAGCTTGGGAGTCCATTTTCATAGCAGGGCACTCAGGTCACCACAGGCGCCCCCTGACACAAGTGATGTCAAGCTGGCCATGCCCATCCCGGGCCCTGAGATCAAACACAAACCTGATGTGGCCCTCAATGAAATTGAGTTTAACACCCCTGCTCTAGGCCCTTTCCTTTATGCCAGGGGTCATCACACTTTTTGAACAGGGGGCCACTTCAGGGTCCCTCAGACTTTTGGGGGGCCGGACTAGCTAGGTGGGTGTGGTGGGGGCCCCCATGTGACTGGGTGGGCATGGCTTGGTGGCCTTGTGACTGGGTGGGGGTGGCTAGGTGGCCATGTGACTGGGTGGGCGTGGCTTGGTGGTCATGTGGCTGGCTGGGTGGGCGTGGCCAATTTAGCAGTCCATTTTGCCAATTTAGTAGTCCATTAAATAATACACACAAATGAAACTTTAATTTGTTTTCCTCCTGGGAGTGTTTTATTTGCTTTTGTTGACTTTTCTTTTTACTAGATCATTTTTTAAGTTGTTTACGAGTCTAGTGGTCCACTTCAGAAAGCTCAGTTTTGCAGCAATTCTTCTCAGCCCCAAGGAGGTTACAATCGACATTCATCCATCTCTCTCTCTCCCTCTCCCTCTCCCTCCCTCTCTCCTAGAAGAGCAAATGGGGGTGGGGAAGACAAACCTTGCTAAATCCCATTCCATTCCATTCGCTCTCCCCCTCCCATCTCTCTGTCAGGAAAGAAACGTCTCCTACAAGAGCAAATGGGGGTGGGGAAGAGAAACCTTGCTCCATTCCATTCAGTGGTGGGATTCAATTATTTTAACAACCAGTTCTGTGGGCGTGGCTTAGTTGGGGGAGTGTGACTTGGTGGTCATGTGACCGGTGGGCGTGGCTAGCTGGTCATGTGACAGGGTGGGTGTGGCTAGCTGGTCATGTGACCGGGTGGGCGTGGCTATGTGCATAGGGACTACTCAGAGGGCTGAAAAAAGTCATTTCTGACTGGTCCTTGCACTTTTGACCGGTCCTCACACTTATGACCATCCTCACATTTATGCCCATTGCATCATTCTTAACAACCGTGTCACTCATTTCACAACTACTTTTCTTCACCACGGTGAAAAGATAGGGTGCAAAATGTAAAATGTGAGGACAGTCGTAAGTGCAAGGACTGGTCAAAAGTGCGAGGACCGGTCAAAAATAACTTTTTCAGCCCTCTGAGTAGCCCATATGCACATAGGGACTACCCAGAGGGCTAAAAAAAGTGATTTCTGACAGGTTGTCGCACTTTTGAGTGGTCATCATTTTACGTCAATTGCAGCACTTAATTAAATTAATTAAATAAAAATGACCTACTGGAGCGGTCGGAGGCAGTCCAAAGCAGGCATTTGGGCCGGCTGTAGGGCAAGGTGATACAACCGGGGTAGGTAGGCCGCTGCTGCCCAGGTGGGAGGAGGGTGCAGGCCTACAGGGCTGGCTGCAGGGTGAAGCGATTGGATGGGGTAGGTCGGGGGTCTGCAACTTTAAACACTCAACCTTAAACACATGTAAACACTTAAATACAACCTTAAACCTGGGTGGGCATTGCCAACTCCAAATCACTTACTCCCACCCAGGTTTTGTGGCTCCCAGTATTTTCTTTTAAACAGGTATCTCTGTGTGTCTCTTTCATCTCTTTCATCTCTTTCTTTCTCTCCCCCTCTCTTTCTCTCCTTCATCTCTCTTTCTCTCCATCTCTCTTTCTCCCCCCCCCCCTCTCTCCTTCATCTCTCTTTCTCTCCATCTCTCTTTCTCCCCCCCCCCCTTTCTCTCCTTCATCTCTCTTTCTCCTCTCCCGTCCGGCGATGGTGGCAGCAGCGCACCTACTGCACCATCGGGTCATGATGGGTGGGCATGGCCAACTTTTTTTTTTTTAACTTTTAAAAGCATTTTTTCTACAACCTTAAGAGGTTACAGAAAAAAATGCTTTTAGAAGCCTCTTACGATCAGGCAACTCAGCTGGGATTGCCAGAGGCTTTTAAAGGCATTTTTTTTCCTACAGCCGCTTCGGCCGAAAAGCCAGCCATGCGAGGAGTGGGTGGGAGTGGTGGGGCAAGGGAGCAGGGCAGGAGGTGGGGCTGAATCCCATCACTGTACGGGCCGGATATATTGTGTCAGCGGGCTGTACCCGGCCCGTGGGCCATAGTTTGAGGACCCCTGCTTTATGCAGACCACTGTATTGTTATTGAGGGATTTGAAAGCCAATTCATAAGCCAAAGACAGTCAAAGAAATCCTTAGAGGCAAATTATATGGCTGCCCCTCTCACAGAAAGTGACTCTGAGTTGCAGTCCAGGTTTATGCATAAAAACATACTGTTTTGACATTAATCAAGTTGTCAAATACAGAAGCAGGTACAGAATAAAGATCAGTTAACCTTAGATAAGTCACGTGTTTGGTCCTTTACTTAGGTGTCACATGGAACATAAAGCACAGGAAAATAACACTTTAAAAGACTTCAAGAAGATGACTATATCATCCTCCCTCTCCCCCTGTACATCCCACCTCTTGAGCTCTGTTTTTGCTGGCAGAGGGCAGCAGGAAGCCATTGCAGCCGAAAACCTGGGCCACCACAGGCACCACAACACGGGTGATGTTGAGCTGGCCAGACCCATGCTGGCCATATCCGCCCTGGCCGTGCCCCCCCCCCCAAGGTCAAACACACCCTGATGCGGCCCTCAGTAAAATCGAGTTTGACACCTCTGTTTTAGTGAGAATGGGGAGGATATGCTGAATGGGGATTAAACTGATAAGGCAAGTGGTCTGAAAATTACATGAGAAAAATATTGCCCTTTGCTATGATGGTAGCAATCACCTGCTGCAACTGAACGAAGCAAGTGGATTGGAATGGTAAAAAAAATTTAATATCTTTAGAGCCTCACACTTTATATGGGCTTCCTCTGTCATAGAAACCTAGCAATGGCTTTAGTTGTCTAGAATTCAAAAGTGATGATTTTATTGGATGTATCTTGATGTAGGGGTTTTGAAGAGAATTGAATGGCTGATGCAGCTAGTCATGGATTTACAACAGTTCATTTAGTGACCATTCAAAGTTATACTAGCAATAGCACTTAGACTTATATACCACTTCACAGTGCTTTATAGCCCTCTCTAAAAGGTTTACAGAGTCAGCATATTGCCCCCAACAATCTGGGTCCTCATTTTACTCACCTCGGAAAGATGGAAGGCTGAGTCAACCTTGAGCCGATAAGAATCGAACTGCAGGCAGCTGGCAGGCAGCAGAAGTAGCCTGCATTATTGCATTCTAACCACTGCACTACCATAGCATTGAAAAAAATGACCGATGATTGTTTTTCATACTCGTGACCGTGGCAGCATCCCCATTGTCACATGATCAAAATTCAGACACTTGGCAACTGACTCATATTTATGACGGTTGCGGGGTCAGGCAGTCCGCTTTGGTAACCTTCTGACAAGCAAAGTCAATAGGGAAACCAGATTCGCTTAACAACCGTGTTAGTAACTTAACAGCTGAAGTGATTCACCTAACAACTGAGACAAGAAAAGTCGTAAAATGGGACAGAATTCACTTAACAAATGTCTCACTTAGCAACAAAAATGCGGGGGCTCAATTGTGGTCGTAAGTCAAGGACTTCCTGTATTTGATATGTAAGAACAGTGGAGGGTGGAAGATACTTGCATCTTGAAGATACTTATTGTTAATCAGTGATTTCACCCCCCCCCTCTTTTTTTTTTTTAGGATTTTATCAAAGAACTTCTAACTCGGATAAGAGGGATGAGGAAACTGAGCCCTCCTCAAAAGAAGAGTATATAAGTGAACATGGAGCCCTCTTGAGAGAAGTGATCAATAAACTGGAACTATTAAACAAGACACCTGCTAGTTTGGTCGTTATGAGCAATTTTCTCTTTTTTGGTTGAATTCTGACATTTTAAAGAATCCAACCCCTTCTGTTTAAGGCAGTTTTTTCAAGTGTGATTTTATTTTATCACAAATAGCAACGTTACGGATGCTGCTTTTACTACCTGCGGATGATCAAGATAGATGGGAAAACATCCACTTTAGAGGGACTTTCCTAGGCAGTAATTCTGCCTGATGTAAAACTACTAGGGAAACGCTGTTCCTTTACAACCAGTTTGATCATTAAGTTGTACACCAGACTCATGGATGTTAAGGTTCTTGTGCTTGTGTACATAAATTATCAAGTGAGTGTTACTATTGATTCACATCGGTGGAAACGAAATGTGCTCTAAGTAACAATATAAACCGAAGTTATAACCAATGTGGTGTTGCGGGCAAGGGGGTGGGGGAAGGGGAGGGATGCAGTTTGTTCAGTGGGGATGCTGCCACTGTTAAAGCATTGCAACAAATGCCTCAATTCACAAAGCAACACATAAGCAAACTGGGGTCCAAGGGCTTGATTTTTTTAAGGTACTATAACCAACTTTGAAGCTCAGCCAGATATAATCTCTCTTCATTTTATGATCTGTTAGGATTGATCAACCTACTGCTAAAGAGTCTGGTAAGATAGCAAGAAAAAGGTCAATACCATTATGGAAAGGTCCTGGAGAGAGACTATCTCCATAGATATCTTGGTGAGAGGGGAAATGGAAATCAAGCCAGTGGTGGGATTCAGCCGGTTCCCTCCGGATCGCGCGAACCGGTAGTGGTGACCGCGGGAGGCTCCGCCCACCCACCCGGACATAATGTGCGACTACTGCACATGCGCAGAAGGCTGTGCGCATGCACAGAGGTGGCGCGTGCGCTCACATTTGCGAACCGGTAGGGAAGGAAAGTGAATCCCACCTCTGAAGTCAACCCACCCCTTCTTATAATAAGAATATCCAGCTATCGCTTCCTATTTTGACATCCAATTTGGTAGGTTGGCTGGCTGGTTGTTGGCTAAGTGATCTAGGTTGTAGAGGTGAAAGCTTGTTCCCCAAACTCTTCAGGAAAACATTCTTTGTTCTAATGCAGTGTTTCTCAACTTTAGCGACCGAATGCCCTGTTTCCCCCAAAATAAGACATCCCCTGATAATAAGCCCAATCGGGCTTTTGAGCGCATGGCAATAAGGCCAAGCGCTTATTTCAGGGTTTAAAAAAATATAAGACAGGGTCTTATTTTCGGGGAAACACGGTAGCATGCTGGCTGAGGAATTCTGGGAGTTGGAGTCCACACATTTTAAAGTTGCCAAGGTTGAGAAACACTGCTGTAATATTTCACAAGCTACCATCTGCTGGTAGATGCTAGTCTGGCATTTTATATCAAGGGTGCTCTGAACATAATTTTATTTTTTAAAAAAGAAGAAATACATGTTTGTGGACTTTATGTATACCGGCAAGCTTTTTTAAATGTATTTAATTTTGTAATGTTTTATTAATGACTTTATTTACCAGATATTTACTCAAATAAATGCAACAAATTGAGATGCTGTTGTGTATATGTTACCTATTGATAGAAAACTGGAACATGAAGGCGAAAAAGCTATTTTACGTTTGGGTAGGTAACTAACAACTTCATAAACTATATCCACACTGTTTCCTAAAGAGTTGACACATGTATGCCCTTCAACAGCTTTCCTCTGTTTTCAGAATTATTTTTAAATGATACAGTTATCTCAATGGCAAAATTTCATGAAGAGGAGTGTGTTTCCCAAGCACATTGTGCTTTGTTTTAATATTGTGAGTTACATAAAGATACGTAAAACCTTTCTCCTCCTCACTTGAGCCAACTCCTGTCCCATGTACGTCTCTGAAGTAAATGTGAAAATAAGTTTTATTTCACCCCTGCATTTTGTTTGAATCTTATAATTTTACTGAAATGCTTCTGGAATCACAGTTAATAGAAATAACTGGAGAAAAATGACACCCAGCATCCTTTAGAATGAAGAATGCTAAGTGGTATTTAAAAGATTACAAAGAATTAGCTATCTAGATCAGTTGCTGAAGTGTTGTTTTGTGACCTTGATTGTTTTAATCCTGAAATAATTACAGATGAATTTTTAACTCATGTTCCTGACCTATAAATAGTAATTAGCATAATTACACTTTTTCTTACAAATACTCACTTAAGGTGGGAAGGAGGTGGCAATATTGGGGGTTTCATTTAAAAGGTGAACAAAAATGTTCTTGCTAAGTTTAAGTTGATGAGAATGGAAACCATTTGGGAAACAATTTGGCCAATATGAGGTTTTATTCTAACTTCATAATCCTTGCATTGTTCTAAGACAAGAGAGGAATTAGACAGAAACTTTTCCACTTGTTTTTTTTAAATGGTATAACATTAATTAAAGAAATTCATTAAAGATCCCCATAAAGATCATCAGTTGAATGTAGGGCAGACTATATGCACTTTCACATTGTCATTGTGTGTCACTTAAAAGTGGCTTGAAGTAACTCCATAGTAAACTTCATTTCTGCAGCGGTCAAAAGCCCCATGTACAGTGAAAACAATCATAATTCAAGAAGACCCAGTGCAGTGCTGACCTTAGAGGAACAAAAATCCTTTCACACCACTCCACATTCAAGGAAAACAAAATGCTACCACTCCCCTCCATAGGTGTTTACCCTATGTGCGTTGGCTGGTCATATACAGTGTTAATAGAGAAAACTCTGATAATTTGCTTAGAGGCAAATGAGGGATGGGTAGGGCAAAGGTTTCATTGAATGGAAGAACAGATTGCCCCACAAGTTCAGCAAAACTGTAGCAGTATAAAGGTTTTGCTTTAGTTTTAGATGTAAAACAGGAACGAGAGCAAGCAAATTTGATTCTTGAACAACACTGATAAAAAGTGGAATTGCAGATCCTGTTCCAGTACTGCCTCTGATACTCCATAGGGAGGTAACGCCACATCTTCAGTTATGCTCACACAGGCATGTATCTTTGCTGTTGTTGTTTTTTCCCCATTAAATACATTAAATACAGCTGCCTGCAATTACTGCAAGTTCAAATCTCACCAGACTCAAGGTTGACTCAGCCTTCCATCCTTCCGAGGTGGGTAAAATGAGGACCTGGATTGTGGAGGCAATAAACTGACTTTGTATAAAAAAGAACACCGCTTGGGGGGGGGGCGAAAGCCCTACTAAGCAGGTATATACAAAAGTATGAAGGCTATTGCTTAACGCATTGTAAGCCGCCCTGAGTCTCCAGAGAAGGGCGGCATATAAATCGAACCAATAAATAAATGAAGGAAGGAAGGAAGGAAGGAAGAATCTAATTAAAAACACCTTCAAATGGAGAAATAATGATTGTGTATGTCCAGTGGAGAAGGTTTTTTCTGTTGACAATTTTTGGTTTCTAATCTATATTCCTAAATGCTTCTCCCCAGCCTCTCAGAATATTATATAACCACCTGTAAGTTTAGACAGGCACCTTACATGAACACAGGACACTGTTTGGATTTGAGCAACACAAGGCAGAAGGAAGATACAAGTTTCATTTTCTATGACTTCTTTGCATAAGTAATCCCATCCAGAATCAAGACATTCACTGCACTTTTGATCATAATGGTAGCTTGATTCCTCATGGATTGGCTGTCTTCCGCTGATGAACTGATTAAAGGTAAAAGGTAAAGGTTCCCCTCGCATATATGTGCTAGTCATTCCTGACTCTAGGGGGCGGTGCTCATCTCCGTTTCAAAGCCGAAGAGCCAGCGCTGTCCAAAAACATCTCCGTAGTCATGTGGCCGGCATGACTAAAAGCCAAAGGCGCACGGAACGCTGTTACCTTCCCACCAAAGGTGGTCCCTATTTTTCTACTTGCATTTTTTACGTGCTTTCGAACTGCTAGGTTGGCAAAAGCTGGGACAAGTAATGGGAGCTCACCCCGTTATGCAGCACTAGGGATTTGAACCGCTGAACTGCCAACCTTTTGATCGACAAACTCAGTGTCTTAGCCACTGAGCCACTGCGTCCCTTGATGAACTGATTACAGGTGTTCTAATGGGGAACATGGCAGAGGCAAGAGATGGTGGTGGGGTGGCTTTGAAAAAGACCTATCATTCAGAATGGAAGGGATTTTCTTTTTATCGTCTGGCAGCATAGTAGGACCCTCAGTAATCATCTCTGCCTTAATCTGGGCTAGAAATGGCACTTTTATTTCGCTCCATTCACAAATGTTCTTGATGGCTAAATAAATATGGGGTGGAGCTAAATTGTTATTATTCAGATGATGGACAACTAGAAATGGGCATTTTTATTTATTTCCATTCACAAATGTCTTGATGGCTAAGTAGATATTGGGTTGAGCTAAATTATTGGGGCCATGAGCAACTTTCTTGTTTTTAAGGATATTTTATTAAAAAAAAAAAAAAGTGGACGCCATACTATTAGGGCAGCCCACAAAATGAATGTGATGGCAGCCTTTCTTGTGTTGGAATAACTTGGAAGCATTTGTTGCCCACTGTGCATGAGAGAACAGAGAACACAAAGCAATTGTTCAACACGACAAATGGTTTTACTTTTAATTGTCTGAAACTTTGAGTCAACATCTATGGTGAAATATAAAAACCCGTATCATTGGCTGAAAATCCATACTTAATGTCCTATTCGGTGCCAAGTACAAACCTAGTAAGGTTTGAATGCTTTCAATTGCGCAGTACCGTCATGACTAAAACAGCTTCCTCTTATGAATATGTTTCTGGAAAGTTTAGCATCACTATCAATTCCCTCTTACAGTAAACTGGGAAGCTGCTAAAAAGCAGCGTCTGTTTCTTTCGCCTTCTGGAAGCATAAAACGGTTAGTGTTGTGGCTTGCACTCCTCCAGATTATGCATGCTGAAAATTCTTTGGCCTGTACAAATCAAATTGGATTTAAAATAATTCCTTGGCTGATTTCCTGCTCAAGTAGAAGGCACTGGATTCTTCTCTAGAGCCACAGTGTAGCTTGGATTTCGGAGCTACTGTAAAATGGGAGTTGAATAAAGCAGAAATCTCATTGTAATGCACCTCTGTTATGCCGTGTGGGAGTCCACTTACAAGGATGGGGTGACTTTTGAATAGCACCCTGTTAACTAAAAAAGCATGGAAGCTGACTTTAAGCCAGAGAACTGGCATCAATGAAGACATGTCTGACCCCAAATATAATTCGCATTTGCCTTCCAAAAATGAGAATCCCATTAAACTTAAACTTGGATAGCAATGAATATACCCAGAAGACAATTCTTATACTTGTGCACGCTCTCTCTCTCCCACTCTCTCTCTCTCTCCCCCTCCCTCCCTCTCTCTCCCTCCCTTCCCCCTCTTCCTTTCCCTCACATAAGGCAAGTTAATACAACACTTGAACCCATTTTGGTATTCTGTCTGAAGAATTCTGCCAGATGGGTGAGTTTTGGAATGAGGCCATCTTTATAGCTACCAGTAGCGATACAGCTAGTCCTCGACTTATGACCACAATTGAGTCCACAATTTCTGTTGCTAAGCAAGGCAATTGTTGAGTTTTTGTCCCATTTTATGACTTTCTTGCCACAGTTGTTAAGTTAGTAACAAGCTTTTAAGGGAATCTGGCTTCCCCGTTGACTTTGCTTATCAGAAGGTGTCTGATCACGCAAACAGTGATGACACTGCAACCATCACAAATGCATGCCAGTTGCCAAGCATCCAAATTTTGATCATGTGACCACAAGGATGCAGCAATGATTGTAAGTATGAAAAACAGTCATAAGTCATTTTTTCCAGTGCTGTTGTATCTTCGAACGATCATGAAACAAATGGTCATAAGTTGAGGACTACCTAGTATGTGTTAATTTGAAAGTATTGGCATCTTCCTGGCCATTGAGCCTGTTAGGTGTTTTATCACCTCCTCACTAGAGCAATGGGAACCTCTAGAGTTAAGAACAAGCTCTAAAATTATCCTGGGGTTTATTCTCCCTGTTGAAGAGACCCAACATCTACAGAACATCTGATTTTGATACATTCATTTCTAAGACTATAATTGTTAATTCAAACCAATATTACTATGTTATGGGTATAGTCCAGGATAGGTCACATTTTGGCAGCAAAAGCTTAGTTTTATAACTATTTCAACTGCTGTGCTAACTTTGAAAATGGCACAGCGGTTCAGGAAAAACTGAAATAATAAAACAGAAGTAGCTTGTAGTCCCCAGGAGTTTATGCCATCTCTTCTATTTGTCTTTAAAATGCCACAAAGAGTCTTTGCTTTTGCTGCAGGAGACTACTCTGCATGGACTACCAGAGGGAAATTGTAATGGAAAGAAACATCTGGGATCTTCTAACTCAGGGGTGTCCAACCTTGATAATTTTAAGACGTGTAGACTTCAACTTCTATGCTGGCTGAGGAATTCTTGGAACTGAAGTCTTAAAAGTTGTGGACTTCAATTCCCTTGTTCTAGTCCAAGCTTTCTGAGCTTGGCTTCTTTAAGATGAGTGGATTTCAACTCCTACAATTCCCTGGTTGGGATTCTAGCCTA